CTGGGGCATTTCTCAAGACGTTGTCAGGTCCTCAGTAGTAAATGCAGCTGCCACTTTGGCCAACTTGTTGTTGACTTGTTGCCACTCTGACCGTTCGGAAGGAAAAGCGGAAATGAAGTTGGCAATGCGGAAATGCCATTTTTCATGATTTCTCCACACTCACACACACACGCACACCCACCCTCGCTCTTGGGTTTTCCCCTCTCTTTGTTTTCCGCTTCATCTCGTAGTTTTCTTCCTTTTCTTTTTGGTTTGCTTTTGACAAATTGTTTGGCGTTGTTGGTCCAATATTAACAGTGCATATCCATCTGGGGAGACCTAGTGCATCTGGGAATTGTCTTGGTCTTTTATCTAATTGGAGGAGTAGCCAGCTTCGAAAGGGGTTGCAAATTAAGACATGTCCAAGAGCAATTGCAGAAGGATTTCGAGGAATTTCACCAAAGTCAACAAGTGATTTAACTCCTTAAGAATATATTAGTGAAAAGATAAATTTACTAAGTAAATGGTTTGATGAAATATACCAATAGAAAACGCTTTAAAAGTAGTATATTAATGCAAATAAATAACATTCGTCTCACACAACTATGATTTACTTTCATATATTTATACTCTCCTAAGCTCCCTTTGCATACCTTTCAAGGAAAAGCGAAAAAGCACACATTTCATCATTAACAAACAGATTCAATTTAGCACAAATATTGATGGTCATCACAGACTATTTTTAATGGCTTTAAGCGAAAGGTTCAGTGACTGGTGGCGGGGACAGAGCTCAAGGAGCATCGATCATAAATGATGGAGTGCGGCAATCAAGATAAATGGTTCCGTCGAGTGCCGGAGCCATCGGGACAAAGAAATTCACGACTCGACGGCCATTTATTGCTCGGCTCGATGACATCACGGCGTATGCGCAATGTGTGACAACGAGAACGACCAAAACTATAAGTTTTAAAGCGGTGAAAACAAAACAAATAGCCCCAGAAAAGAAAAATCAAACAAACTATTTAGAAATTGTATGGGAACCTTCGAAAGAAAGTCATAAATTGAATGCGTGGCAGGACATGAAAACATTATCGAATATGAAACGAGAGCGCAGAAAGCGTTTAGAACATAGTTTCCGGGCTTGTTTCTTGGCTCGAAATGGTTATGGCCGAAGCGGCAATCTTCGACGGGGGTGCGGCCCAAATTTTATGGGCTCAAACATTTTTTACGAGCACTTACTTCCGCCCCAGAAATTAGACAACTGCTGGGAACCGTTTATGCCCGAAAGGGTGTTGCCATCAAAAATGCTTCCCAATAAGCCGACACGATGCTGAGACGGAGACTGAAACTGAGACTGGGCTGCTCCATGGCTATATCTCTGTGAATTTATGATGTGTGTAACAATTGGGGCATTGTTAAGGTCGCCCTTGGCCATCCACTCGAGTATGTTATGCAAATTCTGCTTATTTTATTTAATACGAATTTTACGAGTGGCCCAGGAAGGGATTAATTTGCTTCAGGCAGTGTCTCAATTTTTGGCCCCTGGATAAATCATAATTTTCATTGAGGCAGGATAACTCTTTCTCTCTTGATTTTCTTATTTTTGTGCAAATTCATTGATGCTTAAAATTTAACTTTCCGTTATTTGTCATGTTTTGTTTGTTTGGTGTTTTGGTTTTCCCCGTTGGCGCAATTTATGCATGAGGAAGCCAAAAGGCTGCGGTACGTGCAGAGGCTGCTCCTAAGCCTAAAAGTATGCATAACTAAAATGAGCACGTTCCACAGATAACAGAAGAGCAAAACGGAAAGAAAAGCAAAGGAAAAGCGGGACAAGAAAAACAAGCCATTGATAACTGTGTGCAGAGAAAAGAAAAGTATGCACTTTTATTGACTCAGAAAAATCTTATCTTTATGGATTGCAGAAAAACAAAATCTCGGAAAACTTTTACAAACCCCAGAAAATTGTTAAACTTTCCCATGTCATATTTTCTTTTTAAATCAAATTCAATCAAGTTGTTGTTTTTCTTCCTGTGCACTTATATTTTCGTGATTTTTGGGGCCATACCCATTTTCCGATTGTGTGCATGTGGGATAACAGATATGTTTGTTATTTAGGCAAATGATTTTTCGCTTTGGGGCATTCTCTCCCCCCCGGTTGCCAATGATGTGGAAAATGCAAGCCGGTACGCAGCTGTGGCCAAAGTGCTCCCATTTAAATGGGTCACAAGGTCGTCGCAGCAGCATAAAAGGCGAAATGCTCAAAGCCAAACAATAATAAAGACCAAATAGAATGAGCACTAATGCCAAACGGAAAACCCGGGCGAACCGCGCAGTGGTTGCAATAGGAAAAACTCCAACGCCATCGAGGAAAGCGAAATTGCAAACAAATGCAGTCAAAGCATTGCGAAAACATCAAGGTACTACAATATAAATACAAAAAAATAATATATATATAACAATACGAGAAGCAAATGCAAACTGGGAGAGACCAGGGCCAGGCCAATACGAAGCGGCAAAAGTGACAGACAAATATTGAAGCGAAATTGAACAAAGGCCAGAAACCACGGCAAATGAAAATCCTGGGCACCAAGAAGATCAGAAAATATATTAAATCACATTGCTCTGACTTAGTATAAAAGCAGACAGAGTCCTTGGGAAGTAAATAACTTTTTCCTGAAAGGTTGGCAGAAATGCCGTGAATAGAAATCTTTAAATTAAAGTTAAATTGCAAGAAAAATAAATAAGATTTTCCATACTATTTGTTTAAGAAAGAGAAATAAGTATATTAATTTCTTTTAGTTTTAATAACAGACCAAAGGTTGATTTTGTCATTGATTTCCTAATTTCCTTTAATAAACATGATATCCATATTTTTTTTTTTTTTTGTCAAATAATTCAGCAGATATTTTTCCTCTTCTTGCCTCACAAATAAATCTGTACGGTTTCGCCAGGATCAAATCAATGCGGTGAATAAAGCTCAACTATTGATGACTGGGTTTTACTGAATTTCATATGTAAATAGTAACAAAAATCCCCAGCAAAAAGTATGCCAGAGATTTACAATATCAGCTTTTTCCTGGTTGCCAAGCCAATTTTTCATAGCGCCCGGAAAATACGAGCAAGTATCCACAAATATATAGCACACAAATATATATACTTGCAGGAGCTGCCGGTGTAAAAACAAATAAGGCAACATCAATTAAAAACAATAAATAAAAGCCGAAACAACTTTTGCATTGCATCAGCAGAAGTCCAGAAGCGAAAAATGAAAATGAAAATGAAAACGAAACCAAAAAACGGAAAACAAATCATCGACGGGTGCAGGCATTTAACAATAGTTTATTGCCTTTTCTCTAAACAAGATCCCAAGCAGCGGGTCCTGTTTGTACTGGCGGGTAAAAATTTTTCCGAAAACCACAAGCTGTTGCCAGAGCCTCCGGAAAATCCTTGCCACAACTGTTTCGCCCCGCCCCGCCCCTCTCACTCTCACTCAACATGAATATCAATATTTGCAAGCTCCCGGTTGGTAAAGCAACTGTTGTAATTTACATATATGTATCTCCCTCTCGCTGCCCTATGCCCACCGAATTTTCCGACATGAAAACTTTTTAATTTTCGTTTTCATGGCCACAAGCCTCACTCTCCTTGCACATCATTTTCCATGAGCAAGTCTATTTTTTCGCCGTTTCCATTTGCCACGAGCTTATGTACGGCTTAGCGACGTATTAAACAATTGAAAAGCATTTCCACAGACTGCCGCAGCCGCAGCACAGTGGCAACAACAAGAATGCGTATAGAAATCCAGCATGGCAGAGTGGAAAAGCGGGAAAAATTGATTGCCATTTCAGGGGCAATTTTTAATGAACAGCAAATAACAATGACGCCAAGGGCTTTACCCATATAAATGTTTAACAAATGAAAAAGCACATCACGACATGCTGTGTACATGCCACAAGTTACAAATCAAATTTGAGGAAATGACATTTCTGGCATCCGCTTAATTGTTTATTTTCATTTTGGATTTTTGGTATTTATTTTGGTAATTGAATGCTAAGTTTCGAAATGACATTAAGCCAAGTGTAAAGAAAATGTAACAATTTTTAGTCAATTTTGTGTGAGTAATTTCATTTATATGATGGGTTTTATTTAAGTGGATTTGTGAAACTGAAATTGGTCTTTATTGGGTTGGGAGTTATGCATTTTAAGTGTGTTGTTCTGAAACCCAAACTTTTCACGATGTAATCTGTACAATAACGTCCCTAAAAATGATTCAAATTAGGTTGATTTCAAACCCTTTCCCTTTATGAATTGTATTTCTTTTGTAATCAGACCAGTTGAAATGCTTTTAGTTTTCCAACTTCCATGCAACATCCTGGCAAATCTGTTTCTAGTCCCATCAACAATCTGCACCTATGTCAAATATTTTTCCAACCAGCTTAACCAATTCAAACTCAGGAGGTCCAGGCTGACGTAAAATGTTTTTGATGTCCGCCACGCCAAATGTGGCAAATGCCTGGCCAACATGCCGCATAAATAAAATGCCCCAAATGCACTCGACTAAACACACTCAGCTAGACATATCCACCCACGTGGCAACACACCCACTCTGGGTGTGCACACACACTCCTAGTCAATATTTGGAAAGCGAATTCGTTTTAAGGTTTTGGGGAATTGCGAGGCAAATTTATTTGCTGCCATTTGTAGCGAATTTTGGTCGCACTCGAGAACCCAACAAATTGTTGGCTAAACTATGTTATGCACTTGCAATCTTGACACGATAAAAGTTTTGTACTTCTTATATAAACAAAGAGTTTGGAAAATATAGAGTTGAAGGTATAGTAATGCTGATTTAAGCTACTAGAAAATCTATTAAAATATATAAATCCTGATTAGAGAAATGTAATTCAGCAGCAACTTTGAATATGTAGTTATAAATAAAATGTAGGTTTCTCTACCACTGTATTTTTCTCGACCATTTTAACCCTATAAATATATCTGATGCCTTATATTTTTTGACTCACCTGAATTGGGTCCATTGCTATTGGTCGCGCCGATGGGGCTCCATCCCTGGCCTCCACCTCGAGGGCGTAGGCGCCCTTCTTCTCCCTGTCGAACACGGTTTTCGTGAAAATTTCGCCGCTCTGCAGGTTGATTTCGAAAAACTCTTTGCCCTCGTTCCGCGGTGAATCGACGATGTAATAGTAGACCTGCAAGGGTAAATACCACGCAAGATTCTCTGCTTTATTTCTGGACGTTTTTCTGGTTAATTAAAACATGGCTCACACACATACACACACTCGCTCTTATGAAACTTCAAAAGGAGACAAATTAAAAATTAAATTTGAGAGTAAGGAAAATAAAAAAAATAAGAGTAATTTAATTACTGCTTCGGACATTAAAGCGGAGCGCTAATGATAATCAAATCCCGCAACCTTTGGGCGGAAAAGCGGGGACTATAAATGGAAACGCTAATTAGTGCGGACATTTCGCGCGTACATGCAAATTACTTGGCTTGAGGACACAAATTGTGGCTGGAGAAAAAGTATAAAAAACATGGAATGGCCAGCGCCAAAGTGCCATATTATTATAATCGCGAGGGCGTCTGAAGGATCCAATCCCCCAACCAATCCCTCGCAGCCTCCAGTCCCTTTCATCACAAAAGACAACCCCTGCGGTTGTCCTACGCGTCCTGCATTTTGCATTAGTTTCTTCCCTTTCCCCCTCGCGATGCTTTCAGGACCTTCACCGAGGGCTTAGCACACACTTGGAAGGCGTGCAGAAATGTTAACTCTTTGACATTTATTAGCCAGCTGCCAGCTGATGGCTCAAAAGGAGGCATCGCGAAGGACGAAGGACGCGGTCAGCGAGGGAGAGAGCGAAAAAAAAACAATTACAAAGGCGTGAAAGGGTCGATGAAAGCAGAGAGAGATAAATTTAGGAAAGGGGTCTTAAAAAAACGGAGTAAAAACATGAAGATGGCGATGATAATGGTAATTTAAAAGGGCTTTATAAAGGCCACTTTCAGGGCTTTGCCAGATACTTGCAGGATTTTTGATTCCTTGAAAATTCAAGAGGTTTTCTACTAAGTTTTAATATTTAATATATATCAGCAAGTTTAATTAACTTGATCCCCTTTAATTCATCGCTTAAAGCTTGAAAATATTACCCCATTTCCTGGCCCTTTTTTTTGTCTCTCTTTACCATTATCCTCTTGTCTGCGCTCGCTTTCGAATATCCTTTTTTATTTTTGTTCTGTTCCTCATCGTCAGCGCCATTAATTTGCTAGCAATCGTCTGGCATTTCCGCCAAATTCCCCCCGCACACACACAGAGAGACTGAGACACACACACACCTGCACCCCCACCTGGTCGTTGGTACAACACTCACCTGATTATTTGGGAATGTGCCATCCTTATCGATGGCGTTCACCTGTGTCACTTTGGTGCCAATCGGTTCGCCCTCGAGCACCGTTTCCTGTTCGCGTTCGGTGAATAAGGGTATTTCATCATTAACATCCTCGAGCATTATGTAAACGGTCGCTTCCGATGCCAATTGTTGGGCTCCATTGTTCTACAAAGTGAAGGGGAAATGAAATGGGGGAGGGGAAATGGTATTAAAAAACATTGAGTTTAAAAAAGGGCTCTATTTGATTTTTAATACAATTTTTTTTTATCCGTTGCCCAGACTTCTTGCTGTTTGTATTTTAATTAAGCAGTAAAGTGCGTTTAATGAGTTTCGCTTGGCCACTTTTTTTTGTTTGCTTCAAATAAAATATTAGTTTATTAATTTGCAAAAGTTAAGCTCAACTCTGGGCGTTGATTAAAAAATATTTGAAATACTTAACGCTGATCGGGTATGTATAGTATGATTTGAAATACATTTATTTTTTCTCCTTTGGCTACCTCAAATAGGGAATGTGTTGATGAGTATTTGAACGGAATGTGGGTTTCACCCTTTTGTTATATGATTGATTAAACAATAGTCATCAATCAAGGGGAACAAATCGCATTGGCAACTTGCCATTTATTAGTTGTTTTATTGCCCAGCATTGGACTTGTTAATATTCCTGTCCACCACAATATTTGGCATTTACATTTCGGAATTACGTTATTAATCAATGCATATGAAATCAATATGAGTATATAAACACATGTTTCGTCAGTGTCGAAATGAATTATTTATTTTGCTTTCATTCCCATTTTCCTGGGCAAACACATGTCTTAATTAGACTTCATATTGACCCTGATGTGGTCTGAAGAGAGAGAGAGAGTGAAGTAAGTCTCTAATAGAGGTCACTCTTTAATAAATAAATATTAAAAATAATCCTTTTTATTTCTGCAAAAATTAATTATTTTTCTAAATTGTTTTAAATTTGGAAGCATCAACCGCAGGCTTGATAAAAAATTATTATTTGACATGTTTTCCATGACGCCGGTAGAGGATGGAAAAATGTGAATTAAAAATGAATATGCACTAATACGTGGTGATATTTAAACATTCATGGCTTCAGCGAAACCGCAAAACTATTTTCCAAATTCATTTGGAGATTTGTTTCTCTTTTTCACGGATGGATGGGGCGAGATAAGCCCATTGGGGTCCATTAGCTTTTAGTTGGTAATTTGTAGCGAATATATAAATGAAACCTTGCAATGTATTACATTACCTACAAAATGTGCAAATAAAATGGTGTTTTGCAATTGAATTCTCCATTATTTTAGGCTTGGTGGAATTTCTATTAATATTTCAGCAGACGGTTATAGTATTTGTCTGGCAGTTGTCCTTTCGCTGAATAGCCAAACTAATGAGGACGCTGTTGCAATGGAATTGCTAAAACTTGACATTGATTGCGAATGCAATTGATTACCGTTCAGCCGCGAGCTGTCAATCAGTCAATCAGTCAGTCAGTCAAGTGAGTGAGAGTCAGAGTCAATCAGTTAGTTTCTAATGAATTTGAAACGAACCGAGGCGCCCGCATTTGCATTTCCCCAACTTTTTGGGGTGCAGAAGCTCGCGCAAGTAATTAAAACTTTTCAAATCAAATAATTACAAACGTATTTGGCAGTCATTCTCAAATACAAAAGTCAAATACATGTCTAATTGAGCCTAAGACCAACTTGAGATCTTTTCCCGGCTGCCGTCTGAGAATTCCGCAAACATTTTGCAACTTTAAATTGAATTCGAATCAAGTTTAGTTTTCGTTTTTTTCTTTTTATCCCAAGGCTAAACTCACCTCGACACGTATGGTTAGATTGTATTCCTTGATGCTCTCGTAGTCCAGCGGATGATTCACTTTTATATCGGCCCAAGTGTCGCCATTGTCCGGTCTTTGTTGCAAGTAAAATGTATGAAATTTGTTCGTTTGGGCCGTTGACCCGGGCATCAGGCGATAGAAGACTGTGGGATTTCCCTCAATACCCGAACTGCAGACGTCGAGGCCAAAGTAGAGTTTATAAACAATATTAGTAAGTTCGAAATAATACGATTTCAAGTCACATACGGGCTACATGAAATTATGATTTCTCTACAAATTAAATGGTTATTTTATAGATGTACTTTTTTGGTCAAAAAACAATTGCTTAATTGCGTAAAATAAAAACAAAAAGGAAAGCCTTGATTTAAAGGAAATTTCATCCTTTAAATTCTTCAAGACTTTCTGACAACATTCACACACACAAAAATATATGTCTATGTTTCCAAAAAATTCACATGCGACATTACAAAATACAAAACGGGGGCGACGCATGAATTAAATTCTTGCTCTTAAAATGATGTGCTTTGTGCGCTTTAAAAGATTTCACGTTCACAAATTAATTTCTTAAAGCGTCTTTAGTGCAATTAAAAAAAGTTTGAAAACCGAAGAACAAAAAAACCGAAGGCAAAACCAACCGAGAATATAAACCAAATGGCTTCAAAAAATCTAATTGCCATTTGAGTGTGTCGGGAATGGGTTTCGGCACATGATAATGAAAAATAAATTAGGCGCAAAAAAGAGCAAAAAATATGTATAGATATATATACTCGCAGGATATATATATATTTCGTTTGAGCCTGGACAACACTTGCATCTGACAGAACGCCTTAAGAGCGGGTCTTAAGGATAAATGAAAACTGTCAGGGCTGCGCCAAAATGTTGCCAAGGACAAAAAAGCACAAAAAATTATTGTTGCGGAATGGGGGGGGAGAGGTTTTTGTGGTGGAGGAGGAAAATGGTTTTGGGAAATTTGTGGATTGCATGAAATTTTCTTGGAGGTTTCTTTTGTTTCTCTTTTTTTTATATATATATATATATTTTTTCTTGTTTTGTGTTCTGTAGTTGTTCTGTGATTGGATGTGAGTTGATTTTAATTTCATTGGTTCGTTGTGTTGGAAAACCGAAAATAAGGTGTATTTAAATGATTTACACATCAGTTTCTGTACACTGAGCACTTATTTCGCATTTTATTCTAGTTTTGGTTGTATTTGCAGTTTGCTTAATAGAGTATTCTATAATATATAAACTAGTAGCTAAAACGAAAAATCATAAAACTAAACCGGTAAGCTTATCAGTTTCTAGCTAAAAAATATCTTTTGATAATATATATTTGTATCTATAATGAGGTGCCCTCGACCTTGGCGCCTGTTTCTTTCTGTGTCTGTGTGCCCCTCAAAGGACTCGAGGCGCCTCAAGAGCAAACACAATTATTATGATATACGCGCACACTGGGGCAAAAGGAGTCCTTCAGAGGACCCTCCCCCAAAACACTTAAACCCTCTCCTAATGGCGTCTAATGTATATATACATATTGTTAACAAATTTCTGTGCTGGGACATGACCAGATAATTGCAAAGAGAAAACGCAAAAAGGAAAAGTAAAACTTAGGATGAAAATGCTTTTTATTTCAAATAATTTAAACACATAAAAAACAGGCGAGAAAACAGAAAGCAGAACCCAAGCACGTTTAATAGATTGTAATTTCCTTAATATTGCGCTGGGGAACAGAAAGGAGGTGTACTTAAGGGCACTAAACTAACTCTTTACAGCAGATTCTGGTTCGAGAGGAGAATCAGGCTCAGGTATGTGCAGGTGCGTATGTGCAGCATTCTCACGATCTATTTTCTTATTATATATATTTTTTTTTTATACCTATTTACGTTTGTTTTTATTTTGTTCTTGGCCTTTCGGTTTAAGTGCATTTGCTTTTAGTGCGGCAGTGGTGGAAAGTGCATGGTAAAAAATATGCAATGGGATGGCATAATATAAAAACTGACTCGGACTGACGCATAATTAAAATGCCAGTGCCATGTGGCTGGTTTGCCACGAAGATAAAACGCTGCCCCGGGGAGATCCCAAGGAGCGCAGTGTCCTGGCGGGGGTCGAAAGTCATTTAAGTGCTCTGCTTCAAGTTTTTTTTAATTGCAATTATAAAAAACAAAACTTTGTTTAAAGTAAACTTTCCATTTTTTTCGCTGGCAAAAGGGGGGACTTTTTTTTGTATATGTATACATATTTCATTTCTGCCTCTGGCTGGCACTAAGTGGCAGGTAATTGAAACTGACCCAGCTCATCATGCGGCAAAGGTTAGCGACAAAGCCATTGCAACTTTTATGTACTTTTATGTGTCCCAAAAAGGAAAAGAGCTGGAAAAGTTGTATTTTTATATTTTACGACACTTGGATTACCTTTCGGGAGAAATAAACTAGGACTTTTGATTTTTCTCTGTGACATCAAAAGATTATTTTGGCAGAATAAGTTTAAGTGCTAGAGCAGTTTCTTACATTAAATTGCCAAACATAGTTTTCTATGGCCTAAAAAGGAGTTCAAACCCCGATAAGCTTGACTATTCTATCAAAATAAAGATAGTACAAAATTAAATGTGCGGTTAATATACAATGTGAGAGTTGTGCAGTTGTGGGATATAATTGTGTACATTTCACTGGTGCAGTTTGGAGTGCTTTTTTAAATGATTTGGGGAATTCTAGGGGACAGATGATTTAGGCGATAATGGCAGAAAGTTGGGTGAGCACATAAATTAACCAAGGAATCGAAGAAAATGTTCTTCAAGTTCAAGCTAACATCTAAGGAATATCTAGAGTAAACATTCAGAACACACAAATTAACGGCAAGACACAACACCAATAACCAATAAAATTTGATAAAAAAAAGAAGTAAAAAAACACCTATAAAAAGATTTAAAATGTATATGTCTTAAAAATGAACTAATCAAAATGGAATGAAATTTATTTCATTTTATGAATAAATGCTGTAGTTTTTTTTTTTTGTGGTTAACTTTTTGCACGAAAAATGAACAGACCTGGCTTTGATCGAGACGACTTTGCCGCCGACGGGCATATTTTCCTTGACATAAATGGGCCCATAGACGGTATGATCCCAGACGGGCGGATTATTGGCTCGATCGACCACATCGATCTGTACTTCGACAGTACGCGACAATGGCGGATAGCCCTTGTCTTGGGCCATTGCCTCTAACTTGTATGTCTCGCGCTGTATTTTGTATACATTTCGCGATCGACATTTACAAAAATCGTTTGTTTAAAATCAAGCAAGGCGTGGCAAAAATTGACAGACGCGTCGATATTGGTTGGTAAATACGATAATCGTTCAGGAAAAGGCAAAAAACAAAATGATATATAATATATATATAGTTGGGAACATTTGGTTTCAAGAAGTCTCTAATAAAAAGTGTAAATATAAGTTTCGTTAAAGATAAAAAGTCAAAATGAAAATGATTAACCAACACCTCTTGACGGAAAATGTTAAAACTGAAGGGGAAATTTGGATATTTAAACGAAAAACTTGTAAAGTTGACAAAAAGGTTTCATAGATTTTTATATGCAGTGCAAATTATTTAATATAGTCTCGACCCTAGCCTTCAAAAATAAACGATATTGATATATTTATATGTTGAATAAATATTTGTAGCATTTAAATAAATATTTTAGATATATTCAACTAAATGAATAATTTAAAGAAATGAATATTGGGCTTTGTGCATTTTATAAATACAATTTTCATAGCATACTTTACAGCGTTCGCTGCGGTTATATTTCTTTTCGATTTCGATAATTGCTTTTTAACATTTTTGAACACTTTGTGTAGTTACCTTGTTTCTTTTGAGCTTACGTATATATTATATATTAACTGCAACCTTGTTTTTGGGCGGGTTTTTAATGTTAGAGTAGCGTATTCACCAAATGAAAACCAACACCAAAAATTTCATTACGATCCTCACAATATTTCGGGACTTGTAAGGGGGGCATAGTTTTCCTTTTGTTTTCTTTCGAAGGGGAAATTGCACAGATCAAAGGAGGGAAAAGCAAATCCAATGGGTAATGTGTGAGAAAGACAGAGAGAAAAGACTTTGCTTTGTCAAAATTCAAAAGATTTCGAAGTACCACTCTTATAAAAAAAAAGAAATGGTTCTCCTCAAAATATACACCAGAATTTCCAGTAATTTTCCATTTCCATTTTCGATTGGTTTTTCTTGTATTCATTTATCGCATTTATCGTTTTGGTGTGAAACTCGGGGAAGCTTTTACGATATGCCGCCACAAAAAGGACATCCGTAACAGCGAGCGAAGACCGTATGTTAAAAATAAATTCTAATGTTAGCCAATTGCTAAATGCTGTTATGTTAGTTTTAGGGCAGACTGACAGCTGTTAGACTCGTTTTTTAAGTTTTAGTTTTGAATAAATTTAGTTTATGTTTAGTCTAAGTCTTAGTCTTAGTCTTAGGTGTTAGGTGTTGACTGGGGACTGTTGTTGGCTATACAAACCTTGCCTTAACCGATGTTACAACCGTGCCCACTGTGACATTCTCGCGTATGTGAATGGGGCCATAAATGCTCTTATCCCAAATGGGTGGCTTATTATTGCGATCGACGACATCTAACTCTACATCGACATCGGCGGCCGAGGGCGGAGTGCCCTTATCGGAGGCGCTAACCCTCAAGCGATAGCGGTCGCGCTGTTGATTGATTGTGGGATGGGATTGAGGTATTGATTGAATTTCGTTTGAAGGATGCGACGGTTACAAAATGTTAGCGAACGGGCGAAGTTAATATTGCAAGGAGTAGTCGAGGCCCGAACCCAAAATGTTAGCGTTGGTTACGTTTTTGGGTTTGTGTATTGGGTGTACGTTACGTTACGATTACGTAATTGATGGCATCGTTGTTTAAATGTTTTTTATGTATTTTTCGTATTTCAAAAGTAGTTACAGGTTTATGAAACATAAAAAGCAAATTATATATACAACGAAATATATATATAGAATGTAATATAATAGGATCAGGGATTAGTATATGGTATAGCATGGTTTGAAGGATGGTTCACATAAAAGGTTTGGTCTTTTGACGAGACTATTTCTGGCTCTCATGGGAGCTATCCTAGGATGAAGTAAAATTGGAGCTTCACAACTATTAAATATAGTATACAAAATGAAGTATAGTGTGCTCCTGGAGTTAGTTAAGATTGAAGATTAGCTTACAGTTTTTTAGGATTTTAATTTTTGATGTGAATTTACAATCTTTTAGGGGGTTAGCACAGTAACACAGTTAACGCAGTTGGTTGCATTTACTTACTGGATAACAACCCTAAATCGTTGATAGTACCATGATTTTGTAATATGTAAATATAAACGGGAAATTAAAAATGAAAACATTAAAATGCCTCAATCAGCTAAGCTCTCAAATCACAGAAATTAGAGAAAATCATACAGTAAAAGTGCAGTTGAAAGGAAAATAGTTTAATTAACATATCCTAATGTACACTTTGGGCCACATTTTTCATGGGCATGCAAAATGAAATGTTCTTCAAAAATATATGTATTTATGTTAAACATTGTTTCAAAAATACAATTTCAACTTCAGCTAAAGGCAAAAAATGTTTTAAGCTGGCAGCAAGAGACCTTCAAAAAGTTTTATAGTCTCGACAAAAATTATTTTGTTTTGGGTATGCTTATGGGATTTTTTATAGGGAACTTTTTGTTTTGTTTTCTTTTTTTTTTTTTGGGTAAAAATCAAAAAGTGGCTTTAAAAAATCAAGCTATGGGAATAAGGAAACTATAACTATTGTTATATTGTACTAATTTATTTGGTTAGAACCTTCAAAAATCGGTTACAACGATGCTCAAAAATATTCGTGATCGTTCTCGGAACGGCGGAACCTTTAGATGCTTCCTTTATGTACATTATTCTTAAGTCTATATAAACCTGGCACCAACAAAAATATTAAGCAGCCCAAACCCCTGATATTTTGGGTTTTTTCTTCTTGTCACATTTTGTGTTAGTTTGATTTGTTTCAAAAATGTTAAAAATCAATTCGCTTTCTTGGCATTCTCTGCTCGTGTTTAGGTTACTTTCTTTTTTTTTGCCAATTTTACGCACTATAAACTAAACAAAACAATCGATGGAATCAAATAAAAATATTCGTTAAAGGTATGAATATCTGAATCCAGATATCGCGGGATGTGGCAAAAAACTTGCACTGCTTGCACATCAAATTCAAATTTTCCTAAGACTGTTTAGCGGTCTTGTAAAATATTTAAATAGAAAACAAAATAAAGGTGCAGTTTGAAAGGAAACGAAACTAAACGAAAAGTTATATAGATATATAAGTTATTACAAGACGCTTAAACTCTCTAAGGCTTGTGACTTCTTTCGCTGAATTTGTTAGTAAAAACATAAGAGCTTTTTTTTGTTTTCGTTGATAAATCATTAAAATTTAAATAATAAGACTCGGTTAGTTAGGATTTTGGCAAACTCAAAATAGGAGGTAACTGTTATTTAAAACATTTTAGGGAATTAACTTGAAAAGCAAACACTTACGTCAAGCGGCTTCTTGAGGACAATCCAACCAGACTCGGCCTGAATTTCAAAGTATTCCAAATCGTTGGGATTGAAGGGAGCAGTCAGACTATACACAATGGCGCCATTATTGTCAGCATCCTCATCGGAGGCAGAGACACGCAGGATATTGGTGCCAATGCTGGCATCCTGCTTCACATTCTCCACATATTTCTAGGGAAACACATAACATTATTAGATATTTCATTATGAAGTATTACATTATAATAATACCTGACGATCGAAGAGCGGTGGATTGTCGTTGACATCTGTGATCTCTACTGTAAAGGAGCAGACTCCCTCTAGACTAGGGTCTCCCTGATCCGTGGCCTTAACAGTCACCGATACGAACTTGCCATCATCTCCTTCACGATCGAAAACCTTATTGGTGGACACCTCGCCGGTTTCCTCGTCCACAGTGAATTTGGTTCCTTTTTGGTTTGGTTGCTGAACAATCGAGTATTTCACCTGTCGCACAGAGAACATGGAAAATTGTTTAATGATTGACACAAATTGCGATTAGAGGCAGAGAGGCGTTTGACCTCCGAACACGACATGCACTTTACGGTGCATTGAACTTGGCAGAGCACGAACGAAAAGAAAATTATGGCCAAACCTCGTCATGAAAATCTCTCTCTCACACTCTTTCACACACTCACATGAGTTGGTAATTCAATTAGGTGTGGGTTAATCATGTTTGGTTTGGCCTCAAAACACAAATAACGTATAATTAATCTGCCTGTCCGACCACCGATGGGGGAAAGTAATTAGGCAAAGGATAATCAGGAGAGAGGCCTTGAAGGCCTTGAAGGGTTGGTTCGATTATTGGTAATAGCTAGTGGGTACATCTAAATTAGTTAAGTTAGCACAACAACATGACTTAATAATAACATAGAAGGAAAGGTGGTGGTGGCTAGGGTAGATTTTGTAAATGTATTCCTTTGCTAACAAAGCTAACTCTGTTTTATACAATCTTTGGCTCTTTACCTGTCCATTAACACCCTTATCCTCGTCGGTTGCCACCACTTTGATGACGGGACTTCCATTGGGAGCTCCCTCCTCCACCTTGGGGTAGTAGGTACTACAGTCCTTAAAAACTGGCTTATTGTCGTTGACATCGGTGATGAAGACCACTACGACTGCGGTCGAAGTGTGGATTGTTTGATCTCCATTCACACAACACGATCCATCGTCCATGGCTGTCACATTCAGTTCGTACTTGTCCCGATCCAGGGATATGGCCTTGTTATGCAAGCGGATCACACCAGTGATATCCTCGATGACAAACTGGCCGGATGAAGTGCCACCGCCCACGAAACCAAATCTCACATTATCACCATCCTTATCAGAGGCCACCACAGTGGTTACCAAGGTATTGGGACCGGCATTCTCATCCACATTTGGGGTGTACACCTGCTGTGAGAACTTGGGCTCCTCATCGTTCTTGTTCTTGGTGTAAACTCGAACCGTGGCTGTTCCTGACTTGGCCGGTTCACCTTTATCCTTGGCCGTGACTATAAACTCATAGTACGCATTATTGTTATCCGCATCCAGTTGTTTGTTGTTCACAATTATGCCATTGGAATCCACGGCAAAGTGGTCATCGGATACAAGATATTCGATTTCAGCATTTGATCCAGAATCAGCATCCATGGCTTTAACGCGAAGTATACTGGTACCCAATGGAATATCCTCGTCCACATTGTGAGCCTGATAATCGGGCAACTCGAATTTGGGAGCATTGTCATTGACATCCGTAACGCGAATAGTTAGCTGGAATAAAGATTTTTAAATTAATTTATGCAGTTTAATATTTAAGAAATGGGAATGTGCAAAGCTTTAAATATTTCTCTTGCTTTATATTAAATTCGTTGAAATAAATCTATATTTACTGGCAATCAAAGCTGTCGCTTTCAGAAGCTGTTGCTACAGAAGAAATACATAAGCTTGCACATATCCCAGCGGGGATTTCCCCGAATTCACTCACATCGACGGAAGTGGAGAATCCGCCGGAATCCTCGGTGGCTGTCACAATCAGCGAGTAGACATGCGGCTGACGCAGATCCTCGAAGTCCAACTCCTTGGCCAACTTGACGATGCCCGATGTAGGTCCAATGTTAAAGGTGCCGGCTCCCTGGCCCTGGGCCTTCAGTGTGTAGCGAATCTCGCGGTCTGCAAAGGACTTGGCCTTTATCGAAATGATGCTGGAATATCACAAGAGAGAGAGGGGGAAAAGCAAGAAAGTTAGCACAGGGAAATGTAAAATTTGCTTGCATATTTTATGTCCATCCAAGGGCCACTTCAAGCCCTGCATGTGTATGTGCTTGTCACTCGCTCCACTGCCTTTTGACAGTCGTTTTCCCATCAGAATTTCAATGAAGACCAACAAGCACACACACACACATGGAGACTGCGCAGGATAAGCACACACACACAGTAGCACACAGTCTGGTTCACATTGTTATGCATAACTTTTATTGGCAGCCCCACGAAATTTGCATACACTGTAGCAGAAATGCTGACTTAGAATTATGGCTTCACATCTGGGATTTGAGACTGTTTGCATTTGCAAAACTTGAACACAAAGCTCAATCGGACCATTGCTATATTTAATACATTCTTTTTGAGAATGTTTCTTCTTTGCTTTTATTTTAAAAAGAGTTTTGGATAAAGTTTAAGGACTGATAATAATAATATATTCTATTAAAATGAAAATAAAGGGGTAACCCTTATTTAACCAAAATAGCAAAATATAAATAGTTTCTAGTGTTTTATCCTAATCAAATTTCTAATTATACCTATGCACCCTTGCAGTTTGCAATTGAATTATAGGAATAAATTAGAAAAAAATTTTACTAAGCATTAAAAATTCTTATTTTTTGAATCGATATTTATAGATATTTTAGATATTATAGATATTTTATTTTTAACGCTGTAAACCCTTATAAAATTTTCCAAAATTTGAAAAAATTAAAGTTTTGTCGGACATAGCTAGATCGACTCGCCTGTTGATGCTGATCAAGAATATATATGATTTATAGGGTCGGTAATGACGCCTTCATAGTTTTATTGACATCCTATCTCAACATTATCATGAAATATATTTTCCTAATTTTCCCCAGTGCTTTATTTCGTGTGTGCGTTATCCCTTTATCCTTTATCTTCGACTTACTCTGAATCCTTTTTCTGGTTCTCTGGTATCTCTGCCTCATAGCTGGGCATATAGAACTGTGGCGCACGCTTGCCACCCACAATCGATAGGCGTTCCTCGGGCGTGCTCTGGAATCGACGATCATCGACCTTGCCATTCTGATCCTCAGCCTTTACGTACAGGACATACTCCATGTCCAGCTGGAAGAGATCTGTGCCTCGGGTTCTCACCACACCTGAACGTTCGTCCACCTCGAAACGTCCGCCAGTTCGATCGCGAACGATAAAGTAATGGATATTATGATCTGTATCCGGATCACGGGCTTGGAGAGTGAACACTGGGGTATTGGGTGGAGCATTCAATTGCACCACCGCTTGCATGGGCAGCGGCCGATTAATGAAGTACGGTGGCTCATCGTTGACGTCCTTCACCAGGATTATGACCCTCTGGTTGTCCGTGTACTTGATGCCAGCTGAAAATAAGAAAAATGCAAAGAAAATCATAAGAATATGGCTTTTCTTAGTGGGTTTGTTTGTGTTTGTGTTGGCCCTCTGCTTAGATTGCCAAAACTTTTGCCTTTTGTTATTACAACTAATGGATAGTGGTTAGGGGTGTAGAGTTGTCGGAATAGGGGTTGTAACACATCCCCTACTCCTGCTCCCTTCTGTAATTTAAGGCTCTCGGATTACAGTTAAGACCTTCAAAGTGCAATCAGCCGGAAAAGCATTCTCAAGGCAAGGGCAAAATGTTTTTGTTTTAAAAGCTGATAAAATTGTTACAAGTTCTTTATGGTAAATGTTATTATTGGCTGACTTTGGGACTTTTACATATATGCAAAATTGTACTAAAAGGCTTAAAAGCTTTAGGAAATTTTTAGCTGCTGGCATTAATGATTAAAGTTAAGTTATACTTTGAAATATTTATGGATTTATTTCTCAGTATTCAGTATTTGGAAATTGGTTTATTTCTTCACCCTTCAGCTTCACTCTTCCTCAATTTACAATAATTTAAAGGTCTTTAGCAATGCTGTCCCAACTTATAATTTCTACTAAACATGCACACAACAAATTTCTCCCACACACAAAACAAAAAAATGGTTAAACTTGTAAAAAATCAATATTAGGCAGTGAAAAGAGAAAGGTAAAGAAGTAATGCAGGGGTCGCATTTTTTTCTTTTCTTCTTTTTCTCTGCTACCTTTGCAAAAAATGTCTGCACCGGAAAATTCCAATCATGTTGTTGTGTTCTTTCTTGTATTTTTTTTTTGCTGGATTTTTTGTATATTGTTTGTTGTTGTTGGTTTGGGGCAAACAAGAAGGGGAACCCCCAAACTGACGGTCGCTTATTACAGGGGTGTAGAGATGTCTGTGTGGTAATACGAGGTATGTGGGGGATATATTATATATCTGAATTTATTTTAAGACCATAATTAATATATGTGTGTCTGTTAATTAATATTTGTTTCATTGCAAACATAATTTAAAAGTAATGGAATTTAATATGTTTACATTTTATTTGTTAAAAAATTATAGCTTTGGGTATCATTTAGTCTGTAAGCTTGCTAAAGTCTTTAATTTTTATTTTAAAAAAGGAGTAATGTAGGGGTGGTGGATGGTCTGCTGAAGTAGCTGGCAAATAAAGCAGACGATTTACCTGCCACCCCCAACTTTCACACAAAGGAAATTCGAGCGCCTTATAAAAAAAGGGGGAGCGAGTAAAAATACAACAAAAAAGAATAGAGGATAAAAAAGAAGTGAACCAAAATGGGGGGTGAAGCATGTGTAATTTCTCAAGAGCAGCAAAGTGAATTGTAAACAGGTTGGAAAGGCTAACCCTTAACCCGTGTAAGCAAATATTGCAATTGAAACAAAGACGCAGTAAAGTTTTCCAAACAACACGGCAAAAAAATACGAGGGAAATAAACAACATTTTCGCTCAACAGATTGCAACGAAAAAAAAGGAAAAGCTCCTAACGAAGCGCATAAAGAAAATGCCTGGGATCGGTTGGAAAACTCCGAGGGAGCAGGGGCCAGGCGTAAGTTGGCAGAGTTATTTGCTGATTCTTGCCAACTTTTGTTATTTCCCTGCCAGCTTGGTATTGTAACGCTTTTCTATGGCTTATTGTGCTACTGTGGAGCAGGTAAAAATTGCCAAAGGAATAATGCCATACTACTATATATAAATGTATATATGTATATATATAACTTGAAATTTAAATAATATGAAGCGAGTTTTATTGTTATGGCTATGTGTGAGGCGGTACTAATGTGCACTGGGATTGGGTTTTTCGCGCAGAGAAAAGCAGCAGGAGCAGCAGCCAACATGGCGGATTTCCGTGGCGACAATGCACACGATGGCTGCTGGAAAATGGCTGCGGGAAAAAGGGGGAAATAAAATGGAAAATGCCTTTTGTGGCCTGACAGAGGAATAATGTGAGTGTGAGTGTGTGTGTGTAAGGCAGGATTAAAATGCGCAGAGCGAGAAGGATTTTCATTATGTTCGGCGCTACAACAAGCATGAATAAATGTGATTTGTGATTAAGTTTTTCGTATGAGCAAAAACTAATCTTAGTTGAACCGTTTAAAGTAAAGAAAGAGAGGGAGAATGGCTAACATATAACAATAGATTTTAACGCCATAATTTATTTCTTAAAGTCTCAGTAATAAAGACTCTGTGAATATAGGGTTTTGAATGTTAACTTTGATGCATAAAATATACACCTTCATAGTTCAAGGCTTGTATACAAGTTTCATTGAACTCTTTTCTTAATAAAAGTCTGATTTATATTATTTAATGTTGTAGGATATTTCCTATGTATCAACTTGTATTTTATTCCCTGAAAATGTTGCCATAATGAGCCATCTTCTTCGTCACTTAGCTCCCTGCACATTCATTTCAATTTAATGAAACTTCTTGGCACTCTGCGACCCCGTTTTTACACACACACACCCCTAAAACCGCTTTCATGGCTTCCTCTTTTCTTATCAGAAATGCTATATACCCGTACATATGCACATTAAGTGACTGTCACACGCGATGCGGACTGAGGTGAGATCCTTGAGGAGTCAAAACCATGCAGCTACTATAATACTCGTAATCACTGCCAAGGGATGCCATTTTCCACCCGCAAAACTCCCCCTTTTTTGGAGTCATAGCGCCATTGTCGTCATAAGCTAGCCAAAGGGATGCAGTGGCAGTGCAGGGATCCGCAGGACGAGATTAGGGGGAACTTCGAGCCCAAGGAGAAGAGTCAGGGGAGAATCGCACACAGAGGTTAGCACTAAATGCAACGCCCAAAAGCAGACGGGAAATATTCTGTAACGGCTTTGTCTCCATTCCCGTTTGCATTGCACTTCAGACGCGCTTTGAGACAACAATGAAAACGAAGGGAAACACGGTTGGAAGGGAAAATCGTAGAAAATACGAAAGGAAAATCAAGTTGAAGATAAAGCTAAAGAGTTGCAAATACTCTTACAGAGACAATAAACTTATTTTCTAAGCTATTTTTACGAATACGAATAAGAAATTTAATTTATTTTTATAATTAGTAAAGATTGATATACAACCTTTATATATTTTATCTTCTATCTTTCTTTCTAATAATATATTCTTCACAATAATTCACTAAAGAACAACACCCTCTACAAATTATGAATATTTTATATGGCAGTAAAAGTTGCCTGAGGTTAAAGTTTTTGAAAACTGCTCTGCTTGCTGTCTCTCTCGCTATCCCTGGATCTCTCCATCTCTTTTTTTGTGTGGAGCAAAAAACAAAACAAAAGTCGAAGGGGAAAAAGTGCCAGACTGTCGTCGTGGATAGGAAAACAAAGCTGCTTATTGTTTCAATGGATTAAGTAGAAGGCAGAGTCCAAAGTGAGAGATGCTGCACTGAGCGAAAAGAAAATGCTGGGAGGAGAACTAGAAAGAGAAGGGTATGTCAACGCGAAAGAGAGGGAAAGGGCAGCAGCTCATCATGGCTCAGACGATGATTTTTTAGGGGATGTAGCTCATCGTCTGTGGTGCCTTCTTCAAGTGGGTGCCAGCTTGAACTTTTTCAAGTTCTTCCTCCTTTTTCCTTAGCTTTTCTTGTATTTTCACCCACATATTTTCCCATCCTCCTTAGGATTCCCAGAGTCCTCTGGGCACATTGCCTTTGCGGAAGCAAACCAATCTGTGGGATGTGAGATGCGCGAATAAAAATTGAATTTGTTAGGAAAATTGACAAGTGAAACTTTTGCTACATGCAGCATTGATATTATTCTTCCAACATAAACACAATTTGTGTGTTTACGTTCCGGAAATGTACTTTTCAATGACCTTTTGACATGTGAAAGTCAAAAGAAAGTTTAAATATTAGTAGACAGCTGAAATAATTATTATTTTAGTAAGCCAAATGTAGGCTTAATAAAGTCGTTTGAGGAAATTAAATTGAAATATTGGTAGAAGCTAAAACTGCATTTGAATGGTTTATTAATATCTTTAAAGTTTAATCTTTTCCTAGCCATAAAGCAACTAAGAACAGATTTCCGCAACAAATTAAGTAAGCATTAAACCTGATATTTCCCTTTCTTTGGTTATCAGCCACTCGCAAAATCTTCTCGATTTTTCACCACAATTTAACGGCAAGTTAACCTTTATGACTTGCTTGGGGGACCGTGCCTTTTTTGGTTGTCTCCTCCCGTAACCCCGAGACCCAAACAATTGACACCCCCGATGTTCAACATAATCAGAAGGGTCAGAATGCGGTTCGGTTCGGTTCGGTTCGGGGCTCTTGGCTTGATTAAAATGCAGTCAAGTCGAAACTTTATTCCAGGTACGCCCTCTTCAAATGAATTTCATCATTTTCCTCTGGCAAAAGAAGGAAAAAACTTGGGAGCAAGCTGGGTTTGGCAAGGGTACGTGCAGGAAATACAAGTACAATGTTGAACAGTTTTCCCCTCATCCCATTTGAAATATTTTTATGGCTGGTGTAATATTTTCGCTGCTGAGAAAGAGAGCGAGCTCTGTGCTTCTTTACGGCCATCCCTTTGCCATGGACTTAATGAAGCTGTTAACAATGGATTCCGGGGGATTCCAAGCAAGAAAGTAGGAAAAAGCCATTGCCAAATATTGAACATACATAAGATGTATGTATTGATTGAAGCGGGCTCCGAGTATCGTAGCTAATTCGGATTGAAGTTCCTTTTTTGCGCGCGCTTTGCCATGATTGCACTAGAGAAAAGTGGCAAATATCCGGCGAAAGAGAAACAGAAGCTGGAATAATCGAATCAGAGAGCTTGAGCAAACTCAAGGGCTTCCTTTTGGAACAGCAAATTGATGGAAAACCCGGCTTGGAGTTGAGGAAATGAGGCCAGGGGAAAAGTTTCTGATATAATGAACTAAGAAGTAAGTTTTGTGTTTTACTGTTTTGGTAAATTGAAAAGCAAAGGGAAATGAATTAAGATTGCTATTTTGTGTTTCCGTTTATCTTGTTA